GAAGTACATCTTTACTCAAAAAGACCTAAACATGAGACAACGAAGATGGCTGGAACTTATAAAGGACTACGACGTACACATTCAATACCACGAGGGAAAAGCCAACGTGGTGGCGGATGCCCTAAGCCGAAAGACGAATCATTCCCTTAACGCCACGTGGGTCCTACCGGACCATCTGTACAGGGACTTCCAAAGGCTACACTTGGAAATAATAGAGCAGGGACAAACTCGCCCCAATGCCTATCTACTCAACACACAGGCCGTGCCCACCCTCTTCGAGGAAATCAAATCGGGACAACAACAGGACCCGGAACTAGATAAAATCCGCCACGACCTAACTCGAGGGAAAGAGGGCCCCTTCGAAGCACACCCAGACGGCAGCCTCCGCTACAAGGGGAGGTGGTGTGTACCCTCAACGCACCCCCACTTGAAACAACGGATCTTGGAGGAAGGACACAACTCCCCTTACTCCGTCCACCCAGGCGGTGACAAATTATACCAAGACGTAAAGAAATCGTTTTGGTGGCCGAATATGAAAAAGGAAATCGCAGACTTTGTGGCCAAGTGTCTGAATTGCCAAAGGGTAAAAGCCGAACGATGCAAACCCAAGGGACTCGTACAGCCCCTTGAAATACCACAAGGAAAATGGGATTCCATATCCATGGACTTCGTCGGAGGGCTACCCCCAACGAAAACCGGTAAGGATAAAATCTGGGTCATAGTGGATCGACTAACCAAGACAGCGCGATTCATTGCCATGAAAGAAACATGGACAATGACGCAACTAGCCCAAGCTTACGTAAACCGGGTAGTGAAATACCACGGAGTTCCCCGAAACATTGTGTCCGACCGAGATTCCAGGTTCCTCTCGCAATTCTGGAAATCACTACAAGCGGCGTTGGGGACGCAACTAAAGCTAAGCACAGCCTTTCACCCCACCACGGCCAAACCGAAAGAACCATCCAAACCCTCGAAGACATGCTAAGAGCCTGCACGCTCGACTTCCGAGGGACGTGGGAAGAACACCTAGACCTCATCGAGTTCTCATACAACAACAGCTACCACGCGAGCATTCGCATGGCACCCTACGAAGCACTATACGGTCAGAAATGTAGAACCCCCTTGTGTTGGGAGGAAATGGTCAACCCGGTAACACTGGGCCCCCAATACCTACAAGACACCATAGCCAAGGTTAAACACATCCGGGAAAGGATGAAGGCCGCCCAAGACCGCCAGAAGTCGTACGCCGACCTAAAGAGGAAACAAGCCAAATTCAACCTCGGGGACAAGGTTTGGCTAAGGATCTCACCCACACGAGGGGTAATGAGGTTCGGAAGAAAAGGAAATCTCAGCCCCCGATTCATCGGCCCTTACGAAATCGTGGAGAGAATCGGAGAATTGGCCTACCGCCTCGCCTTACCCGTCGAACTAGAACGAGTACACAACGTGTTCCACGTATCTCAGCTAAAGAAATACATACACGATCCAAGCCACGTACTCCAACACAAGACCGTAGACCTCGACGAGTCACTAGTCTACGAAGAGAAACCCGTAAGAATCCTGGACACCAAAACAAGAAATACCCGGAACCGAGTCATAGAAATGGTGAAGGTCCTCTGGACCAATCACGGGACCGAGGAAGCAACATGGGAACTTAAAGACACGATGAAGGAGCAGTATCCCGAGCTGTTCACTCCAGGTAACTAAGAGAAAACTTTCTATTTCACCCGGGGGCCAAGCTTCGGGGACGAAGCTTCCTGTTAAGGTGGGGAGAGTGTAACACCCCGTGTTACGAATCCTAAAACCAACTGATTAATTAATTAATTAATAACCCAGGAGAAAGAATAAATTATAATGATTAATTAGGGAAAAAGGCCACCATAGCCCGTGGGCCCAAATATATAAACCCAACCCCTAACCCCAATAGGATTAAATTCTAAATAAACCCTTGGATCTATAAATAGGGAACTTAGGGAGCACTTAGAACCCCCACACGCCTAGACGCCCCCACCACCCCAGGAGAGCTCCAAGAATTCCCTTAGAAGAAATCAAGAAAGCAAGAAAGCTTAAAGAAAGATCCTTCATAGCCAAGGAATTAATTAAGGCTAAGAGGTAACCCATGTCTCAACAAAACCTATTTTCATAGCTATGATTTCCCCTTAGGGTTTCCCCCATATGATTGTAAATGGCGAATTACTATGATTATTATTGATGTTGCTTTAATGATTCCATGGGGAATCTTGATAATCTTGATATTGGGAGTTTCTTGATAATTATGATGTTCTTGATGATTAATTGGGATTTTGATGATTATGTGTTGTTCTTGATGATTATGATGTTCTTGATGATTAATTGGTATCCTTGATGATTATGTGTTGTTCCTACCGAATCTTGCAATTAGAAGACGAACCGTATTCTTGTTGATATAAAAGTGATTAGAACCCTAGGTTGTATCGTATGATCTTATTCTTAGATTATCGGGTGGGAAATCGCATGTTTGGGCGTGGATTATGTTTAGGAAAGCATGATAGGCCATGTGCCGTTCGTTTCCCGTATTTGATCCGTTAATTGTCTACTTGTTGTTGATAATTGCGTTGTAAAGTGTCTAAGCATGGTTTCGGGTTCCACATCGGTTCCCGGGGCGAAAAGTGATGAAAAGAGTCAGTGGGGGGTAGGTGGGGGTAGGGGACCCGCCACCTACCCGCGGCATTCTCGGGCAGCTGCCCGCCGGGCACCCGCTGCCCGGAACAGTGACAGCCGGCGGGCAGCCGGCGGGTGGACCCCCACCCACCGGCTACCCGCTGGAATCTCACCCCACCCGGGACCTCGGCTTCCTCGTTTGATTTTTCCCCGATCCCCGTGGTGTCCCAACGGACCCCGTTTGTCGTGCCTATGTCTAGTTTGATATTTCGGGTACCGTTCGTAGGTTTATGAGTCTGTTATATCGCATGCTAGATGAATTGGTATCCCGTTGACCTAGGTGAAGGGAGTATGAACCCCTTAGGACTATTCTTAGTATGTGATGGATCACGCATAGGTTTGTTATACGCTTTATCCCCCTCCCCAATGTGTAACGTGGGTTGCATGTGCTTGCTATGTGTTATGTGTGTGTGCCACCCCAATTCGGTTGCGATCGGATTGGTTATCCTGAGCTGCGGTTCAGAAGCTGGCTGCGGTCAGATTGGTATTCCTGGCTGCGGTCAGATGACATTCTCTTGGGCTGCGGTCCACCGTTTGGTTGCGATCAAACGTTTCTATACGAGCTGCGGTTCGTCCTTTATCCTGGCTGCGGTCAGATGACACTCTCTTGGGCTGCGGTCCACTGTTTGGTTGCGATCAAACATTATGATGAGCTGCGGTTCATCGGTCGGTTGCGATCGACCTCCCCGTGTTGCGATACGGGGCATGGTGCTGCGGGGCTGTGTCAGAGCTATATGCGCTGACCCTCATGTATGGGCATGCGATCGGTCCCGTGGCGCCAACAATGTGTTCAATGTGTTGTGATATGGATGAGTTGTGATTATGAGTGTCTTGGGGGGATGTGACTGTGGGATTTATGTTGGGGACTGTTTATGTTGGGTTGTGATCATCGTTGTGCTTTGCCTTATCTGCCTTATCTGTCATGAACCGCATATGTTTGTTATAACTGTTGCTCGTGTCTGGCCTTATCTGTCGAGTCATTCCCGGTTTTAAAAGCTAGAGTTCGTAGGATATATCATCATGCTCATAATGGTTTTCGTATATCTATATATATCTCTATATGTATTGTATTTCAACGCGTTGGAGTGGGTTACCAGCATCTCTCGCTGAACAGATATATTTGGCTTTCAGGCACAGAAGAATAAGTCACTGGAGCGCGCTAGAACTCGGAACGTAGAAGTAGATAGTTCCCTTCTCGGCCTGCGTGCCATATTATGCATTTACATTATTAAGGATATTAGTTAGTTAGCCTGTGCACCTGGGTTCTCTAGCTCAGGTGTGGCATAGCACCCCGTACACTTGTATTATGTTTTGGGATTTAATGAGATAATACCCTTATTTTATAAGTTTTAAATGTCTTGAAAATCTAGGGTGTTACAATAAGGTTGGAAAAGAGCATAAGGTTGGAACTATGAAACTTGTGACATGAAGGTGTCATTATGTGATTGTGTGATTTCTCTTGCTTATGAGCATGTCTTGATGAACTCTACCTTGTGAATGGTAGGTTGCATCTTGTGTGTGTTGTCTATGATGTTTGTGGTCTTGTCGTTGTGTTGAGGTTGATGATCCTCGTTCTTGTTGAGAGTAATTGATGAGTCTTTGATGTTGATTTCCTTCTGGTTTTCAAATGACTATATACTGTATTCCTCAGTTTCAAACGCTTTTGATTATATATATCTATACTATGTTATTTAACGCGTATTGATGGGTTACCAGCATTATTCGCTGACCGGGTGTTATCCCTATGTTTTACAGGTTTTGAGTAGATGCCGAGCGCGCTAGATGTGGACTCTAGATAGTATAGATCCCATGCTAGACATTTATCTTTTGTTGGCCTATGTGCCTAGACTAGTGGCCTGTGTGCCTAGACTTGTTATGCTTAATGATTTTGATAGTTTGAGCATGTGCACCCATGGTTTATGGGTGTGGCATAACGCCTTCCCGGTTGGCGATTGCGTTCCTACCACCACGACCACGACCACCGCCATTCCCGCGACGGTCGCCACTACAGCCACGAGACTGCCCGGATTTCTGGACGGAAAAAGCTGTCGACGACAGTCCTCCACTGCTGGCGACGAACTCCTCGGCACTAAGGAGGTCCGAGGGTTCATGAAGGGTCATCGGTGTTCCTCGGACATTGAGATAAGATACAAGACCCCGAAATTCAGGCCGCAAACACCGAAATACGTAAAGGTTTTGTTCTTCAAGTGGAAGGTGCCGGCCAGCGAGAGTTAGATCCTCAATGAGAACTGTGCCCGACCGATATAATCAGTGATGGAAGCATCACCTTGTTGCAACATCTAAAGTTGCCCGAGAAGGTTCAACGAGCGAGACCGAGACGAAGAGGCAAGTGCGGAGGTAACAGCAGTCCACACTGCACGGCTGGTGTGATGTCCGATAGCCAAGGGCATAACTTCATCAGACAACGATGACATGAGCATAGAGAGAAATGCCTGATACTGACGAACCCATGGATGATAAGCAGGATTCGGCAGACGCAGCGCTTCCTCTTCGCCAGACGAGATCGTGGGCGGCGGGCATGGATTGGTTCCGTCGATGAAACCCATTAGATCATGTCCGTTGAGAAAAGAAACAACTTGAGCCCTCCAAAATAAAAAGTTCCGATGAGTCAATTTGACGCTGATGAAGTGATGAGCCGTGGAGAGGGTGGTTACGGTTGAAGTAACCGATAAGAGAGGGGCATCAAAAACAGTCCGTTCAGAGGAATTGACAGATCCGTCGCCCATGAGATAGAAACCCTAGCTAGCTGATACCATATGAGAATTTTTCTCGCTGCAGATAAGTGAAAGGGTGTGTGTGTGGTGTTTCAGGATAAGGTTAATGTGTTTAGGTGTTGTTAAATCTGCTATTGTTAAATGATTATTGCAAAACTATTTCTTCAATTCAGTGGATGAAGTTTTGGTACTTGGATAACGCATGAAAACGTCTTTTTAATGCTGCAAGACTCTTGAGTTACCCCTATGGCCCTATGAAAATTGCGAGCAACAAATTGAATGAAATGTAGAGTATGTGTGTACTATAAGGCACTAAAGATTGAGACGGAGCAATAAAAAAAAACAAAAAAGAAAAGAGTTTGAAGCTGAGCATGATTTGTACTGTTAGTGTTTAAATTATACTGGAAAAGGTTGAGTGTAAATTTGAGGAAGACAAAACTCAAGAACAGAGGTACCCTATCTTATTCAAGCTCTTTTAATGGTCATATGGATGAATATTTGGGCAATTTGAGGGTGAAATCTGACTTGGAACTGTAGTTTATATGCATGCTCAAACTTTGTTACCTACTTACGTTGCATTGTAAGACCATTTGCCTTCTTGAGTTGATCACTGGATGATAGATTTACGATCTTTATCAGTCCAGATTGCTGCCATCTTGCAAATTTGTGTAATTGCCTGAGTGTAGGGATATGAGCAGTAACATCATCCATGACTCAATACCATAGTGTTTGGTCTACTCTTTTTTTTTTCTTTTTTTTTTTTGTATTTATTGTTTAGTTCTCTAAGTAGTAGTATTTTTGTTTGCATGTTTAGGAATCTTTAGAAAATAATTTAAGCGAAAGTCTTCTTTATTCCATCTCAAGCTGATATTGGTGTACTGGTAAGATAGTTTCATTGTATGTACATAATGATTAAAGAAACTCCATATTCATATTGAATGTTTCATCATGTCCATTTTGTGAAAGTAGTTTTACCTGTCTTTTATTTTGCCTTGCAATCCAGGTGATATCTGCAAGGAAAGGTGAGTTTGAAATTGTATATGAAAGAGGTGGACAAACATGTGAGCCAACTTGCAAAGACTCTTGGAGTTACAAAGCTCCTCATTGTTGTCAATAAAAAGGATGAACCCACTGTCAACTGGTCAGAAGAAAGGTGGTTCTTTGTAGTGTCTTTCAGTGTTAATTTTGACATTGAATTTTTTCCATTCCCTTTATGGAGTTCTATTGTTTCAGGTATGATGAAATTGAGGAAAAATGTTACTTTTTTTGAAGTCATCCGGATATAATGTGAAGAAAGGTAAGTGAACAAATGCTTGACTTTGCAGATGAAATTCCTAGAGATTTTAAGTCTTATATCTCCTAATAATTTTACTCACTAGCCAAATCATTTAGTATTCATGTTCTTCAATATATTAAGCATTATTCGTTATATAGTGATCTGGTAGGGAATTGTACATTCTGTTCCCTTAATGGTCAGCTGAATTTTTGGGGACCATCTATCTTAATGGTCAGCTGAATTTTGTACGTTCTGTTCCCTTTGTTTTTGTTCTAGCTTTTAAATTTTCAGTTTGTTGTCATTGATATGACCAACAATCATTATGGGTTTGGCAATTGAAACTTTTGTTGGTATTGCATTGCTCATTCTTGATTTCTTGGTTTCTGATCAGAAAATGTTGGTTCCATCAGCCCTGCAAAAAGTGTTGGATTAACTGTGAAGCAGGCTGGTGTACTATTACTTGATGAAGATGGAACTACTGTTATGGCAGAAGATGTTGTTAATGGAGATAAGGAGCTCATCCTTTCCCTGCTATGAAACATGTTTGTGCACTTGCAGTTTTTTTTTTTTTTTTGTCTTAATGTTTCATTCCCAGTGTCATTCTGCTGGCTTATTTAATCTAGAGAATATATGTTACATGAACTCCACTATTCAATGCCTTCATTTTGTGCCTTTTCCTCTTAGGTACCCTCATGCGGAAATTCCATTTGCTATGTTGTTTAGCAGCTCTTAAAATTGATATTTGATTTTTGATGTGTTGCTCTGAAGATAGCTGGATGAGGATTGTTTTCATCTGATTTTCATTTCTCTAAATATATATATTTTTTAATTTTTAATTACATAACATGTCGGTGTTTTAGAAAAAACTGACGTGTTATGTAACAAACTAAATACATACGACGTCAATTTTTGAAACATAACCGACGTCGTATGTATTCAAAATAATTTTTTAAAAACTAATATAAAACGTCGGTTATTAATTAATAACCGACATCGTAGGTTTTATTAAATAAAAAAAAAAAATTACGTCGGTTTTCATATAACCGACGTAGTATGTTTACAATACAATGTCGCCTTCATCAACGTCGCTTTTTAGCCGACGTTAAAGGGCCTAAATAACCTACGTTAAAGGTCATCTGTGTTGTAGTGCTAGGGTTTTTGTCTAAGTTCTGTGTATTTCCCTTTCTCAAATGTGAATTATACAAATGCATGCGTAGGTGAAGTTTTGTTGATTTAGTCGAGGCACTTGCTTAAGAATGGATTACCATTATTGTAGTCTTATACATATTCTGGTTTCCGAATTCTGCCTAAATGCTTTTTTGTAAACTCAAACTGGTTCTCTCATCTGTCAGATAAGTGTCTAACTGACCTCTCATCTCTAAGATTTTTCCCTATCTGGTTGAGAAGCCAGAGACATTGACCTAAATGCTTTTTTGTAAACTCTAAAACTGGTTCTCTCATTTGTCAGATAAGTGTCTAACTGACCTCTCATCTCTAAGATTTTTTCCTATCTGGTTGAGAAGCCAGAGACATTGAAGAGGGTGTCTGAAGGCATATAATCTGGATGAAGACCTAGCTTTCAAAGGTAAATTTTTTCATCCATAATTGAAAAACTATTTGATCAATTTTATTTGTTTAGAAATGGGCACAATTATTTTTTCCCTTGTTTTTGTTGATACGCATGATATTTAGTAAGTAGCCTTAATATGCTATTCTGAAAACATATTCATAAGTAAATTCCTCTTTGTTGGACTAAAAAGAAATTTTGATTACAAATTTATACTCTAATATGCTTCTCTATCTTGTAATTTGCATTACATTTGTAGATACAATTGTATTTAAAGAATATGCATGATTTTCATTCTTCAATGTGCCATGTCTCATCAGCATTTATAAAACCTACATTATACAAAGGATAACAAACATAGAAGAATATATAATAATAAAAACATATGATAAGATATTTAATTAAAACAACCAAGATATAAATTGTACTCTAAGTCATGGACTTAGAGTTGAATTAAGTAGATAATATGCATAGTCCAGTTTCATAGAAATTCAAATTAACAATGTCCAAAACAGTGGGCATAAACAATAGCCCTTAGTCAACCATATTACAACCACACAGTTTCTTCAAATTTTCTCTTCCTTGATAACAATAGCTTTAGTTCTTTTGACATCCTGGGTAGATGAGAATTGGTCCAGGAGATTTCTTTTGGTTGAGTGAGGTTCAATTTGTTCACCACTTTTGGTTGAGTGAGGTTCAATCTGTTCACCACTATTTGCCAATCTAGGTTTTAGAATTTGCTGCACAGCAGGACTACTTGCCTCATCAGAACTATCCCCATCAGAACCTCCATCAGAACTATCCCCATCAGAACTATCTCCAGATTCATTATCCTAAATTAAAAAATAAATTAGGATTTTTACAAATAATAAAACCAAACAGAAAACAGAGTGTATAACAGTTAAGTTAGGTACATTATATTCATCCTCATCCTCTTCTTCAGCAATCAATTTGGAGAGCTCATCCTTGTCATCTGTCAGGGTACAGTGTGCTGCAACCAATTCATCATCATTACTTATGTTCAAAACAGGAATAGCCTTGGCATGGTTTTTAATGTGCTCATCCTTGAATGAGACTTTGAAAATCATCGCTTTGTTAAGTAGAGATTCAAATTCTGGTGGAATCTCAGTAGGATCCTACAAAATAAAATCTTAGTTAAATTATTCTAAATTTTTAGGCAAAAACTAACTATTAAAGCCTGGAATAGAATATATATAGGTAGATGAAATAAATTTATACCTCCAAGTGCTTGTTCCTGAGATCATAAGCTGTCAATCCTAATAGATCAGCACAATCATGATCCCTCAGCAGAAAATGTGCATCACCAGTCTTGTCAGAAACTCTCACAACCACCCTGTACCTTGGAATTCCTCGCTGCCAACTCACTTTGCATGTGACACACCACAATATGGCCTTTTTCTGTTCAAGTTTCCTAAAACAGCCTTTTGTCTTGCAAGAGTAGTAGTACCATTGTCTTACACTCACCAAGCCAGAAATTTTTGCAGGAACATGGTAATACCCTTCCTGTTTTATTTTAGTAAATTAGAAAAGTAATTTGAATCCCCCCCCCCCCCCCCCCCCAAAAAAAAATACTGCAGCTAAAACTGTTATTTGGATACAATTAAGAGATTTGAATTAGTACTACATGAGCCCTTCCATAAAGATCACTTATGGTGCTCACAATGATTGGTTTCTTGCTTGAGTTTTCTTGACTGTTAAGGTATGAAAAACTTGAAACATTGTTCATACTCCTAATAGGAGTAGCATGACCCTTCAAACTGGAAAATATTTCAAAGTTAAGAAATGTCAAAAAAATGATAAACTTTAGGTCTTGATTTTTTATTTATTTTTTTTAAAAAAAGGTTACCTAGCCTTGAATTCTGAAAACTCTTTACAATTATGATTGATCCACACCTTTGTTGCATTACATGAACTCGATATCCTCACTTCAGCTGAGATTAAGAAAGGAATTGTTAGAGTTTTATGTTAGATATGCAGTGTCTATAACACAGTTAGATAAGTTAGTTGAAACTTACTGCCGAGGTGCTTTGCTCTACACATCTGTAGCAGTATGATTAGAGGGCCATCAACAGTTTCATTGAAATAGGGCATGACAGCATCCACATGTGCATTTTATCCGATTGTCCCTAAAATAGTGTATATGAACAG